CCAGTGCAGTATGTAACTCTCGGATCGACAATTAGATTTTTACTAATCTGTTTAGTAGAGCCGAAGTATGCATTGTCAAGTTTCAAAGGCTGGATTTTTGGCAACGAATAGCCTCTATAGAAAACAAGATCAACAAGGAAAGGAGGTGTTCATAAACGCAACCCCCACACGATCCAGCAACAAGAACCAGCGGCAAGGAGCCCAGGATGACCCAAAACAAAAACAGAACAGGGCGTAAGGGAGAGCACGAACAGGCTTATCACTAAATGTTACATAAGAAACGATAGTTTAAGTTTGTGTAATAAGTAAATCATTGAAAGAAACCAGTGAGTGATTAACCATTTATCTTTCAATTCGATAAAATCTAGTAAATAGAAATTGCGTTGGACATGAGTATTTTTTTACATTTCGTTATTGAATTTACAAATTTACTTATGAGTCATTCGTCCAACTTTTATAGAACCACAAAAACAGTGACACAATTATTTTTTGGATGGTTTGGCTCAAAGCCCTGCTCTTTTGACATGTTGTTTTTGAAAAGAAATGACCATCGTGAACCCAACTGCGAATGTTTTAAAATTGACCATTTCATGTAAAATGTTGAATTCTAACAAAGCCAGTGCTAAGAGGCATGGACGGTAGTTTGCAACTAACACTGGCTCAATGAATCCGAGCTTAGTAGATTTTCCATGTTGCCGTATTCTTTAGCGTCGTTCTCTAAGGATTTTCAAACATGAATATTCTTTGTCGTAATATATATAGATCTTGTCAATGTGATGAATTAGTATTTACTAAACTATCGAATTTCTGCTACCTAATTAAGATGTTAATATAGATAAAATGTTTCTTGTATCAAATGGTGGCGCGATAGCTCAGTTGGTTAGACCACTGACTGTCACTCCTGAGGTTCCGGGTTCGATCCTGGGTAACACCCTTGGGATTTTTCAGAAACACTTTCAGTGTTTCCCACCTAACTAGAGGTTTACTGGTACGAAACCCAGGTAATCCTCGCATGTATCAGTGCTATACACTGGGCATGTAAAAGAACCAAGGAATCTTTTCAATAAGAGCTAGGGACTGGTTCCCGGATTTCCTTGTATCTCATAGCTGTCTCTAGTGTCTGCTGAGGTAAGGACCCTACTGGAAATAAGTGCTTGCACTTTCGTAGGTTATCCTTGACCGCCCGGTCTAAAGAAAATCAATCAATCAATCAATCAAATGTCTCATTTGTATGCATTGGCATAGTTGAAAGCGTGGATATCAAAATGACTATTGATTAATTAAAGACTATCGTAAAATCAATGTGTCGAAATGAAATTAAGCTAACTTATCCAACTAGGGAGGAGTAAGTTGGGGATAAAACAACGTGCCTGTAAGACTGCCATGAGATTTTTGTATTAATGTTGGAAAATGAAATATTTTTTGTTAATTTTTTACATTCATCCAAATTGTTTTGCTATAAAAACGTTTTAATATTTATCAATTGGTGAAAGACATTCTTTTTTAAACAAATTCAAAAATGTGTTTAAAACAACTCCTACAACTTTTGATGTTTTCTCAAATTTAATGTTTTTTTTTTTCTGAAAAAAAAAAACAACAATAGAGAGTGAAAACAGATAAAATAGAGAAAAAACACAATCCTTAATGAAAGGGCAAAAATTAATAATGTTACTGGCTTGTTTTGATTGAGTCTGTTCATGGACAGTACTTGAAAGTGTAATTACCGTCTACATGGTCTCTCCCCCATTTTGGCACGAACCTCCACGAGCACATTAATCAGTTCACCTTGTCTTTATTTCGTTATCTTGATGCGCAAACAGGAGTCAAAAATCAAAGAACGCCGCACATGACAGCACATTTGTCTTTTCGAAGTACCACGTCGATGGAGAACGTTAACGTCATGCATATTCTGTCATCCCGCCAACGATAGTTAATGTTAGTCAAACTGTCTGAAAAAGAAAAAGAAAACGTCTATACGACTCGAAAGCTATTGCTTGACTAACAAAATACCTATGCCAGATTCTTTTAGTCGTTGTAGATGATTCCGAAGGAGACTATTTGACAAATTTTTATTAAAGCACCGTTTTCCGGACGCCTTTATGACGATGTTTCCGAATAAATAAACGTTGCAACTACAAACCGTCGACACTTGATTACACAATAATCCAATGTTTAAATGACGTGAAATTGTAGCACGACATTTTTCGGGTTTTACATCGGCAAATTTAAGACAAGATCAACATTTTTGTATCAGGCACTTTAGTGTATAATAAAGTTTTAAGATTTGTCATGTTTTTGTCGTTTTTTTTTTTTGGCGTTTCCATGGTTATTTAAGGCGGCTTGCGATGGTATTGGCTGCCATTAAATCAATAATATTTTGCAATGAAATTGATAAAACTTAAATTTTAAAGCAGGTAAAAATTATTGAAGAAAACATGAAACACATCAGAATTATAAACAAATTCTGGGTAATTCTGAATCATTCCTCGAATGAATCGTCCTGGTATGACGACCTTCGAGTACATTATAAATCAGTTCGCCATGGTCTAAACTATTTTGTCAATAAACCTTATCGTCCGTATCATGCGTAATGTCAAGCATTTAATATATGTTTTCGAAGATATGGCGGAAATGATTCTTATTATTCATATTATGCGCCTGTTGAAGTAAAATGTGCTTCACCTTGAAACTCTAGAATGGCTTTTTATCATTTTTTTTTTGTATTTTTTTTTCAATACATAAAGGAGAAACACAGCCGAATATAACAGACGATGGAAACATTGAAACCACTGTTGAATCTGTTGAATCTACATCTTCATGTACTAAAGTTATTATGAATTGTATGAAAAAGAAATCTACACTATAGTCTGAGCACGATTAACAAAACTTTCGTCAGTTCTAAAAATACAAGCACAGTCCATTAAAAGATTAATTCAGGTAAACAAAGGTAAACTGTAAGTGGATAACCAAATAATTACATTAAAAGTTATACATATTTTATGTAATGAGATATTATCTACGTTTGACACTATAGAACAGTAAGTTATACCGCTAAATGATATGAAAGTGGGTGGGTTCGAAACCTGGTGTAAACTCTATCATTTTTTTATTCAAGGTTTTTAATTACTACTGTCTGACAAAATAAATATATGATTATGCATATGAACTTGACATTGTACGTTTGTCTGTCTTAAAATTTGTTAAAATATTTACATTTGTACAAAAATGAAGATGAAAAATGAGATAGTGGAATAAATGAGTTAGAGATAATTCGATTCAAAATTCTAACACTATCGGAAATTTTCCTATATAGACAAAGAAGGCCGGAAGCGTGCATTATTCTACAACAATGCACTCGCCGTTCTTATTATCTCCCTGTATATTTTCACATTGAGGGCGCCATTTTGTTTAAAAATCTGATAAATAAAAACAATTTTTTGTCGAATTTTGTTGTGAAAACTATCTAGAATGATAAAAAATGGTCTAACTAAGACAATGAATCCGAACACCAATATCTTTAATTCAGTCGTTAACGCTGTACAGACGTTTAAAGTGTTGTTTACGTGACGTCACAATGTAGCGCCAAACAGCACGTGCAAAACAATCAAATCAAGTACGTTATTTTAATATCGCAGACGAATTAGGTTTTACATTTATACCACTTTTAATAATTTGTATTTCGCTTGAAAAATTATAGAGTGAAATAAAATGAACAAACAAAGTTTTATCAACGTTTTCAAAATTCGTTATTCTCAAAATGTTTCTACACACAGTAGATTAAACGACAGTTTTTTTTTTCAACCCACTGGAACAGCCTTTAAAGAACGTTTCTATTGGAAACTCTGAGGCGAAAACAAATTTAACCACCAAACATAAAGTCCAACTTTATAATAATAATTATACTTTTTCTTGACGTGTTAGAATGGAAATAGATATTAATTCTTCGTGCATTATTGTATAAAAATGCACGTTTTTTGTTCAAATGCGTTGTAATTAATCACTCAGGCCTATCGGCCTTCGTGATTATATTACTACGCATTTGATCTCAAACCGTGCATTATTCTACAACAATGCACTCAGAATTGATATCTATTTCCTAAGTAACATTAATAAATCAAGCCATTAAAAAATGGATTTTCATTTTGTACATACTGTTTCATACATGAAAGTGAAAAAAAAAAACAATAAAAAACCACACACAAAATTCCCACTTTTATTTTAAGGATGGAGTAGATTCCTTCTTGACTTAGGGTTCTACCGATTGAGCTATTGCGACATTTATTACTTACTTTTACAATTATCGGTCAAACGTTCACTCAATAGAATGTGCAACATTTTATTTACCTATATAATATCAAGATGAACTGTTCCGTACTATAAATAAATAAGGAGAAACTTATGTTTATCGTGCTCGTATTATATATGCTCATCTTGTAGGTCAAAACAAACTGTATTAGTATTTGATTTAGTGTCAACAAAATTTGTTTAGCAAATTTACAACCATGTATCATATTACATCACAATACATATGGATTGAAAAAGTATTTGATTTAACTCGTGATATTATTCTTTTGTATTATGCATTGATCACGTCATTGTCACAATATACTATCCAAATAAAAAAAAATGAAACAAGAAACTGTAGCATAGTCAATATTTATTTTATAAAAACGTATTTTATAGGAGATGATACCCCTGAACTAATTAATCTCTGATGATCTTTATCACTCAGACCACTGTTTATAAAACAAAAGCACGAAGATAATTTGTAGCTCACTATTAAACAACATCATGTTGGAAACCATATTGATATTGGAATTTTACTTGCGGTGTGGTACATATCAACAGATTCACTTTCGTACTTTCATTGTGGCTTTGGACGCTGACATAGAAGTGTCTGCCTTTAAACGAAACTAAATTAAATGCATATGGAGGAATTGTTTTTATTCATTAATAAAAGATAACAAGAATTGGAATTATATTGCTGAAATAAGTATTCAATCGGAAGTAACATGTGTATGTAAAAATCAAGATAAGTATTATGTAACTTATATAGGATAGCACACGAAATGTTTGCATCTAAATCCCAAATAAAAATGGATCAATTCAAATACGACGTTGTTTCATTAATTATGATGGTATTATGCCATGTATGTCATTGTCTTGGAGGAAAGGGACAGAACGATAGTTTTAACAACATTTTTAATCATCCAAACGTTACACTATTTAACATAAATGCTACAGTTGAAGAAAACTCTACAAATATAGTGCAAACAAGGTTTAATCATTCCGTGGTAGACACATTATACTATAGCAACTTCAGTGGATATAATATTTCGGGAAAAGAAAAAACAAAGGACAGTGGATTAAACTATTCCGATGACACTCCACTACCTGCGACGATATTAATAGCAAGTCCGGCAGTTGCTGTCGGCATTTTTCTTTTTATATGTCTTGCTTATAAATGGCATACCATCCAACTCGACTCTCAAGCAAAGGAATTGGCTGCCCAAGTCAGCTATGGGCATTGCCCGAGTGCTTGTATTCCATGTTCACCATGTCACAATTCTCAGAGACTACTTCCGCCCAGTGATTCAATAACCATGAACTCACCATGTCTTTCTGAAAATGAATTGCATGGAGCAAGACGGAAAAGTTTAAGGACTCCTTCACCAGTTTTGCTATCGCCTCCTAATTTAGCCAATCATAGAGGATCCAGCTGGAGTGCCCTTTCTGATCAAGAAGTAATAAGTCATTCTCCACGACGACATTCTACGTTTCTATTATGATAATTGATAGTCAATTTGATAGTATCTATAACTTTAACCATGTTAACTATAAACAAAATTGTGACTGAGTAATTACATTGTAATGTATTCATTGTTGCTTTCATACAAGTACGTATTTTTATTTAAATTGCATTACTGTCATTTATGTTGTAAGAAAAACAGCAAACTGTTACTTATTCAGTTTGTATACAATGCTATATAACCCAATATAGCCATTTTAACGTTTATCATTATAAGTACGATCCTATTTAAATGATTTGTCTTAATTTACGAACGTTGATGCAGAAAAGCATTAGAAACATAGTTTATGACCGGCATCTAAAATTGAAGTATGAATTTATTAAAGTTATTGAACATGAATAAATTTATTGTGCAAAACCACCAGTGTTTTTTTTCTACGATAAGTTATGAAAAATCCGCCAATATTCTATTTCACGTTCATTATTTTCGCATTTCTTTGCTTGTAAAAAGGTAAAACCTATGATATAGTTATCCTGTGCTTGACTGTTAATATTTCGGAAAAGAATGAAATACACGAAGTAAAGTAACTTTCAAATATTTCCCATCAAAGGTATTTTGTCAACTGAAAGTCAAAGATACGAAAACCTACTGCAACAAATGCTGTACGTTTGGGACGAAGCAGACACTGTAAGCAGATGTTTACACAGATAAACCTCTCAAACACCAGATGTACGATATCATGTATCACAACATTAACTGTTTACAACTACTATAATTTTAATTAAATTACTGTCTTCCATGTATTCATTTACAAACAATGTAATAAACATGATAATTTCGTTATTTTTTTTCAATTTAAAGTAATTGTTTAAATAAACAGATTTTATATTAGAAAATTAAAAAAAACACCTCTCAATTTAGCTTATCCTTGTTCCATTTAAATTAGAATATATAGATGCAAAAGTTATAACGCATTTTCTTTTAACTAATAAATATTGAATATTAGAATAATTTAAATATCCATGTACATAGAAATAGTTGTTATTAATTTAAAAGACTAAGAAATGACTAAGAAATGATTCAGTTTGATATACATGTCACAGGGTCATTTGTCATTATATATACATGTATATACTTTACCATTATTATATCCTATATGATATATAGTGCATTTCTTATAAATATATTTTTCCTTATCCATCCACTCTTCATCTCATATTTACTCCCATAGCTTCATTATATCATTCATCATATATCATACACTAACTATAGTAACTGGTGACGGGCCTCATTTTTTCGCTCATGATTTACCGCCACGCATGCGCACGGCAGATTTGAATTACAGTTGTAGAGTGAAAACCTAACTTCTGTCTTTGTGTTGATTATTTATTTATTTTGCTGCCTCTGTGTGTTTTACAGGTAATTTACTTTTTTT